TTGTTTTACTCAAAATTCCAACGAGCCTGAAACTCTTGGAGTGTTGATGAATTTTTCTTCCTGTTGTCCGGCCCTTCTCCTTGTTCTCTTGTGATTTTTGTGTTCCTTCAGGTTAATTTATTTGGTCAGTTTTGCGGTAATCTGCGAAGGTTGATAAAAGAAATAAGGGATCATACACAAATTGAATTACACGCAGTTCAGCTACCAGGCAGTTTATTTACAAGAAGCTCTGCTTATAATTATTTTGCCAAGGTATAAAAAAAAGTAATGCAACAGTATCATGTGCAAATACCCCCACATGCATAACAAGCAAATCTGCTACGGTTGAGGCAGCTGCTGGCCCCATTACACATCGTGGTTCAAGCGTAGGACCTACAGTCGAACCTCCCGTGAGCGACCACCTAAAATGTCAAGCCTAGGTGGTCGCTTAAGCGGGGTAGTCGCTCATGAGGGCTTAACGGGGTTCCCTATAGTTTTACGATTGCACGCGCGCATAGGACGAAAACTCAGGTAATCGGCTCGCGTTCAAAGGAAAACGTCAGTGTTTTTCGATTTTTATGACGTCAACATGAGGACAAAAAGCAAAACTGACAGTGAATTTTCTCGCATTTCCTTCAGTGACTTTTTTTTTAATTTGGTTCATTTGTAACCACATACAATTCCTATAAAGTACCCTATCTGATATATTTAGAAGAATCACAAATTACAGAATATCGGAAAAACCGTCTGAACAACCTTGACTTTTTACCAATACAAAATGTCAGGCAATATCGTTTCCATGATATGACAATGTATGAAAAAATTTCACCGAAGGAAAGTATAAGTATTAAGGAGTTTAGCCCAAAATGAGGAATATATCTACCTGTAATTAGATGACATGTTGCCATGGTAACTAACGGTTTTAATCCAAAAATTGACAACCAAAACATAAGCCTTATTTTAACAGTAATCCATACTGGTAAATCTCTACAGGGAAAACTTTAAGAGAAATTAACTAAGTTTCCTTTTCTAACTCGCGCTCTATAGGGAGGATGTTCGTAAATACTCTAACGGGTCACCTTAATACTGTCGAATGACATTTGACCAGTATTGTAGTTAGGAAATTAAAACTAGTGGTAATCGTAGATCAAATAGTGCGTAGATTAAATAGTGCGTTCGAGTTTTGGTAGATTTGTTATGTTCAAAGAGCAAAACTTCTAGGAACAGCATTTTCTGAGCTGTTAGGTAGACGTGAACTTGGCCTCCCTCCAGCAGGGGCGAAAAAAAAAGATTAATTGATCGCACGCACGTGCATACGGAAGGGTTTGTTTACACATGTACTCCGTAATATTAGTTACGAGCCCTCAGTAAAAAACACGGACTGCAGTCGGTAGGCCGCAGTAAGTCCACAGTCCGCGTTTTACACCTGAGTCAGCGTTTTATACCCAGTCCGTAATGCTTAGTCCGCGTTTTATACCTCAGTCCGTGTTTAATATCCATTCCGTAGTCCGCAGTCCGCAGTCCGTGCTTTATACTGACCGAAACCTTACGATTGTGGACCGTGTAAATCGACACAAACGTTGCCTGTTCCGTCGGTATGCGAGACGAAGTGCTTTTATTACCAAAACTAGGACAATTATTCTGTTTACGAACACGACTTTGAATCGCCTTGGCTTTGGGGGAACAGCTATTGATCATTTTCACTTCCAAAACAGTGCAACGGAGGGCATGTTGGTGTACCAAAGTAATCCTGTGGGAGTTGAACTCTATGTCAACACTTTCGTGGGAATTATGTTACATATTTTGTGCACAGAAATCTAGGCTAGCGAAGTGAAACTACGCATTTCCTCCTTTGATTTATTCAGCAGAAAGCAGCGTTGGTTTTGGTCAAGGGAAAGAGGGTACACAACACGCCGCCAAACTACAGCCTTCTGTTCGTACGAAAAGTCGTACACATTCCGCGAACACATGTCTGCAAGGTTTTTAAATGCCATTAAACCCAAATCAAGCTTTAAATAAACAACTTATCCGCTACAGTCCACAATACGCTGCCTCGACACTCGAAAGTCCGAAATATTGCTTAACACTCGAAAGAAAGAACATGGACGAACATGGAGATGACGTCATTCGCCCCTGAAGAATTTTTGGCGGGGGACACGTGTAGATTAGGACTTAACCCCAGGAGCCTGAAACACTCGAACGCACATTGTAATAATTCCAAAGAAACTAGGTCACAGTAAATCAATCGTTGGCGTTTATAGGAAGGAAGCGATGAATCAGCAACATAGGAATTAGGATAACAAAATAGAGATGTACTTGTGATGCGAAGTCGTAGTGATGGTTGCGGTTGAGATTGTGTGGTTCGAACTAAAAGCAAAACGATAAAAAAGGCTTATGTAAGCTAATTAACAATTAGACCCGCAGCCCGCAAGGGCTACTGGTCAATAGCCCATGAGGCGAAGCCGAATGGGCTATTGACCCGTGGCCCTTGAGGGCGAAGGGTCTAATT